ACTGGAACTAAAGAGCCAAACCCAACTCCTGAAAAACTGCTCCTTACCATAATCCCCCCCCTCCACCAAACTTTACACTTGGCACAATGCAGTCAGGCAAATACAGTTCTCTTGGCAACCGCCAAACCCAGACACGCCAAGAACACTTCTTAACTGCTCTAGAGTCCAGTGGCGGCATGCTTTACACCACTGCATCTGACGCTTTGCATTGCACTTGGTTATGTAAGGCTTGGATGCTGCTGCTTGGCCATGGAAACCCATTCCATCAAGCTTTCTGCGGACAGTTGTGCTAATCTGAAGACCCCATGAATTTTGGAGGTCTTTAGCTATCGACTCTGCAGACAGTTGGTGACATCTGTGCACAGTGTGCTTCAGCATGCGTTGACCCAGCTCTGTCATTTTACATGGCCTACCAGTTCGTGGCTGAGTTGCTGTTGTTCCCAGCTGCTTCCACTTTGTTATAATACCACTAACCGTTGACTGGAATATTTAGTAGCAAGGAAATTTCACAGAAGGACCCATTGTTTCACAAATGTTTTTAGAAGCAGTCTGCATGCCTAGGTGCTTGCTTTTACGCACCTGTGGCCATGGAGGTGATGGGACACCCCTCCAAACCATTGGATTCAGGTGTTCCAAATACTTTTGCCAATATAGTGTACGAAGAATACATTCCAGAGGGAGAAACTGGGGAACTGAGCTCACAATAGAGCCCTTGTTACCACTGCCAGACAGGTCATAGGGAGGATCTTCCAGTCGGGATTCTGAAGTTGTAGTAAAAAATGACAGGAGATCAAACCCTGCATTACTAAGTTTAGACCTTTTAAAATAAATTAATGGTGCTTTTGTCTCTATTTTCAACTAGCAGCCAGCGGACAGAGCTCTAGTGGCTTCTGGTTTTCTGCTGTTACCAGAGAATAATTGTATTCTAAGCTCATACATCTGAAAAGGGTAGGGTGTCCTGTCCCTAATCCATTCTGTCTCTAGCTTTATATGGCTCTATATGGAGTATCACCTAAAAGGAGGCAGTCCCCAAGTGAGCAACTACTGCCCTATTTAAAAGTATAGAATTATCTCCAAATGCAGTATATTGAAGGCACTCGGTATGAAATAAAATAATAAAGTGACAAACAATATCTGGTCATAAACCCATAGACATTTTATAAAATGTGTTCGATAAAATTTTACTAATTGAAAGGTGAAAGATGGTCTAAATTTTTAGTACATGTGACAAAATTTTCATTGTGAATATCTCAGTCCTAATTCATTAAGCGTTTCTGTTTAAACTGGTTAGAAAGAACACATTATACCAGATTTACCTTTATCCTGTGAGTCTTGCACTAGAATCTATAGCTCTGTATGTCTGACTGTGTTACTCAGATAATGAATATACTTGCTACCTCATGCATTCCTTAAAACGGAACTTCACCCAAAAAGGGAAGTTCCGCTTTTCCACCTGTTACAATCCCCCTTCAAGTTTTGGAATCTTATTTTTTTGGGGTAGCAGGTACCTGGTTTTGATAGGTACCAGCTCCTACTTTCTCCTGGATCGGCTAGACGATCTAAGCGGAAGTTCACCACCACCCCCTCGCCTAGCGTTCTGGGACATGGTTCCAGAAGACTGCAGGACCATCCAGAAAGAACAGCGCGGCTCGCGAATGTGCAATAGGCAGCTGGCTCTGAAACCCCAAGGGTATCGCAGACTGTTTCCCTTAGCAAACATACTGGCACCAGGGACCTGAAGACTGGTGAAAAACCAGCCCGGTTGAGGATGGTGCTAGATCCCCGGAAAGGCAAGTGTCCTTTTATTAAAAGTCAGCAGCTATAGTAATATAATTATATATATATATATATATATATATATATATATATATATATTATTCTGCTGATTTTAATTTTTTGAGAGGAGACTGAAGGTCCTCTTTGACGTGAGCTTATAATACTAGATTTAAGCTAGTCATACATGGCTATATATCTCTTGTTCAGCCCACAGACTGATCAGGAGAGAGGCTATCAATTCTCACATCAATGCTGAACATGTATGGAGATATCTTAGCTTCTGGCTAATGTATTGAGGCAGCCCAGGGCTCCCACGCAGGTTAGCTAAGCAGGGTGGTAGAGTGGATTTAGAAAACCTTTTAAGAAGAGGACACTTTAACACACAGGATTATAGTTCCCTTTAAAAGGAACCTGTAAGAATTTAAATATTAGAGCCAATTTGTTTTTGAAAATACCTGTTGCTAGATTAGCATCCTTATAGGCAAAGTCCACCTTTTGCAAAATAAACAACCAAATGCACATATTTAGCCTTTATTCTTTCTTCACTACTCAATTGGGTTGATTTACTAAAAACTGGAGAGTACAAAATCCAGTATAGCTGTGCATGGTAGCCAATCGGCTTCTATGTTCAGCTTGTTCAATTAAGCTTTGACAATAAAACCTGGAAGCTGATTGGTTTCTCTGAGTGAATAATTGGGAACAAGTAAGCACACATCAAATATGAACATGCCTCTTTCAGATCTGACTTTCCAAGTAAAGAAGAAAGAATGACAGACCTGGAGCTTGCACCTTCAAAGACAAGTTTATAATGGCACCTTCCATGTTTTATATCCTAAAAATTCATGTAAAGGATATCTGCCATGAAGCAAATATATTTGTGAGAAGCTTCAATTAGCACAACTCCTTGGTTGCTGGAAACTTTTCGGGCTGTGCTGATACTCTTAGTGAAACTGGATAGAATTTGTTTTTTTCCTGCTTTGGATCTTGTATTCATTCTGGGAGATACAAAAATATTTTTTTCCTGTGCGGCTGCCCACAATTGTCTTTTGCTTTTTTTTGCTGGAGCTCTTGGAAAACAAATAGGGAGTATAACTTTTTTCTTAAACATATTTTCTGTTTGTCATGATTAGAGCTTGCCATTTAGTGGGCATTCTCTTATGATGCCAACATTACTATTATTCTTGATTTCAGTTTTTTCAAATGTAGTTTTTTCATCCTGAATCTTGCATTGCCCCTTCCGGTTGCTCTAACCCAGGCTTATATATAACTGTATGCTGCATTTTGGTGCTTGAGCACCAGGCCTAGATCTAGGGTAGTGCTGGAGTGGGCTATGCCCGCCCCAGATTTTAGTTGTGCCCAACCCTCCGATCACAGAGTGCATACAACTGATCCATGAGACTTGAAGAGGACAACTGATGTAAGGGGGACTTTGATGGGGGACAGTTGATGTAATGGGGCACTTTGAGGGGGGAGGAATTGATGCGAGGGTGCACTCTGATGTGCACATTTTTTATGTAAGGGGGGTCTCTTATAGGAACCTCGATGTAAGGGGGAACTCTGAAGAGTACTCCTGATGTAAGGAGGGACTCTGATAGGGACTCCTGCTATAAGGAGCGCAGGTTCTGTTTAACCTTTCTAATACAAACTTGTGTCCTCTGTTCACTCCTGCACCACCTCTGCACTACCTATCAGATGTTACTTCCAGGTTGTGACTCCAGGGTACAGAAGCATGTTGAGTGAACAGATAATACTAGTTCCATGCCTCTCTGTCACAATATTGACATTCTGTCCCCTTCATTTTTGTTTTTACTGCACCCCCAGATCAAATAGGCTAGATCTGGCCCTGTTGTGCACCAGTAAAAATGTGTCCAGTGCCCAAAGTGCCAGGGCCAACAACTCTATAGTTGGAGACCCATATGTATGTGAATTTGGGGATTAGAGTACATATGATATTTTTGCTTTGCAATGATCATAACCTGAAAACCTAAAACTAATTTAAAATGAATATCTAACCCTTAACCTTACTAGTATGTCTTAACCCTAAAATAAACCCTAACCCTTTATCCATAACCCTTAAAGTTGGTTCATATTGTAAAGTAAGAATTATTTGTTCAGACAGACAAGAATTAGGAAGGAAATGGTAGGAATGTGGATGCCAATAAAGCTTGTCTGTCAGTTGTAGAAAGTAGTTCTCTCAGCTCCTTTATTTCAGTTCATGTTTTCTAAAACCAGCATGTTAGGTTCTATAACCCCTAGCAGCACTCTGTAATGGATGCTGTGGCTGTAGCTCCAGTTCAAGTGACCCAAACGCTGAATTTCCATGTATTTATATCTGACTGGTTCACTTTGCTGACTTTCACACATTGTACTTTCCATTTCCAATACTTACCATATTGATTGCAATGGACCTAGCTTAACAGTTTAAGTCTGCTTTAATTTCAAACTGTAAAACAACGCTTATACTCCAAAATGTCTTTGGGCAAAACATTTGTATCAGTGGTAGTACCTGCGTTTCCAGTACAAGAGTACAATATACCCTTTGGAAAATTTGCATTTGCTTATATGCAGTTGTCCCAAAGCAAAAACCCACAAAAAACTCAGACTCCTCTTAGGGCCGTGCCATGGTCCCCTACACTTACATACATTGCTGTTATAGAGGAGAGGACTAATGAAATTGCTCTAAGCCTCACTTTAATTATTGTATCTTTGCTGTCTTTGTGCTGCTTTATTTTGCTTGGGCTTCATTCAAGCTACTCAGCTAAGCAGTATTGTTGCTTTATATTTTGTACGTACCTCTGTCCACTGCAGTATATAAAGGCCATTGTTCAAGCTCTGTGCCCAATCTTCCACAGAAAATATTACATATCAATAAGCATGTTCAGTTATTAGGTGTTACTATGCTATGGAATAGACCTAATTCTCAAGCAGCATTTTTGCTCAGAACTGTTAAAATAAATGGCTGCCATGAATGTTTGGCTGTAGAATGTGCACGTAATATATCAAAAACCCATTTTGCAAGATCTGTCTATTATTTATGAGCTAATGATTGCAGAAGGAGGTTATTCAGCCTGAATACCATTGTGCTGCTGTGAGGAAAGGTTCCATGTTCATTAGTAAGCATGAACAGCCTGCAGAAGGCTCTGGAGCTCAAGAGAAGATTCATAAGGCTGCCGGCTGTTTACACGTGCTGGATAATAATGCTGCATGTTGCTTACTTTTGCCAGGCTTTAAGGGATGGGAATAAGCTGGCTCAGATGGAGGAAGCACCATTATTTCCTGGAGAGTCAATCAAGGCAATTGGTAAGTAGAAGACCAAATTCATCACATACGATGCTTGTCAGATAATAGTATGTACTGCCTAAAGCCGATTTTTGGAAAATTTGATATTGTAGGAAAATGTAACTTTGTAAGTTGCACTTAAGGCATGCCTGTAATAAATGATCACAGAAAGAATAAACTCAGGCATCCAAAGGTTTATGTCCCATAGTCAGGGGTGTGGAAGTTTTTGAAAAAACTACTTGTCCATGGACTAAATTGGGGTCTCTATCTACTTGCCCTGATAAAAAAAAGGTGCATTTTAACCAAAACCGTATTTAAATCTGAAGTGCTTTTAGGAATGTCTGGCGCTTTTTAAAAACAAAAGGGGTTTTATGACAACTTAAATGTTCAATATTTTTAACATTGCACTGTTTACCTCCTCCTCACCTCCCTGCCTGTCTCCAGCACCACACCCGGGGACTACCACGGAGGGGAGAGACCTTGCAGTGTAGTGAGCACTGATTGGGTGATTGTCAGGAAAGGAGAGTGTCGGGCTTATCCTTTATCCCTTTTGCTGCCAGGGTCCTTTTTTGCGTTTTTTGCACACATTTAAAAAAATGTTAGGCCTGAAGATTATACAAAACCCCCAAACATATATTTTCTGAAAGCAGAGACCCTAGAGAATAAAATAGCAGTAGTTCCAATTTATGTCACACAATATTACCACAAATTTTAGGGCACAAAACAGCAATAAATAACCCATTTTTTTTTTTTGAAAATCTAAAAAATGAGTTTGCACCGAGTAAATAGATATTCAACATGTCAAACCTTAAATTTGTGTGTGCTTGTGAAAATAGCGACAAACTTTAGTACCCTATATTTTCTATAGGTGATGCTTTTAAAGCCCCTTGTAGGTCATCAGTTTGTTACAGAGGAGGTCTGGTGGTAGAATTATTGCTCTCATTCTGGACTCAAATTTTTTTTGAGGGGGGGGTGGGGTATTATGTGCTTGGGTGTAACTTTAATTGTTTACAATTAAAAAGTAAACATTTTTCTTAACTTTTTTTTTCTTCATCACATAGGGGACAAAAAGTCCTCTGTGATGATTTTTGGTGACAGGTTCTCTTTGAGACATCCACAGTCTAAAAGACCCTACATGTCTCCCTTGTACTCCACTGGATGTAATGCAGTCCACATCACACTGCATTACAGCCTGGCCTCAATGGCTGGGAAATTTGTCAACGGGGACCTGGAAGCGACGTTATGGTGTCAGGACAAGAAAAAGAGGGGAGTGGACATGTCAACTTTCCTCCATCTCCTCTACAAGCTGGCACCCACTGAACTGGTCCCGGCCCACAGATGGGCAAGCAGTGCCCTGGAGACATATCTGGCAAGACGGAGGTGGTGCGGGGTGATGGGGGAGGCCGGCACTGTGGGCTGTGTGGAAGCAATTGGCAGTAGCGCTCCCGCCCGAATACTGACAGGTGAGCCCTGCTACTTGCCTGCGGCAGGGCTAAAGGTTTAAAAAAACTACCTGCCAGATGCCCAGAACTACATATCTCAAGCGTCGGGTGATACAAGTTGAACATCCCTGCCCATAGTACCCCTGAACCTTGGAGTCCCAATGTACAAATGGATGTACAAATGGTAGCCTACAAGGTGGGAGCTCTACCATGCACCCCCATCTTTCAATGTAATGCTCGGTGCCTTTCCCATTAATTGCTCAGGGGAGGATATATACAGTGTGTGTGTATGTGTGTGTATATATATATATGTGTGTGTGTATATATATATATATATGTATATATATATATATGTGTGTGTGTGTATGTATATGTGTGTGTGTGTGTATGTATATATGTGTGTGTGTGTGTGTGTATATATATATATATATATATATATATATATATAGTGTACAGTGTGGCAAAAAAGTATTTAGTCAGCCACCAATTGTGCACGTTCTCCCACTTAAAAAGATGAGAGAGGCCTGTAATTGGCATCATAGGTAGACCTCAACTATGAGAAACGAAAAGAGAAAAAATCCAGACAATCACATTGGCTGATTTGGAAAGAATTTCTTTGCAAATTATGGTGGAAAATAAGTATTTGGTCACCTACAAACAAGCAAGATTTCTGGCTCTCACAGACCTGTACCTTCTTCTTTAAGAGGCTCCTCTGTCCTGCACTCATTACCTGTATCCATCTCACCTGTTTGAACTTGTTATCCGTATAAAAGACACCTGTTCACAACCTGAAACAGTCACACTCCAAACTCCACTATGGTGAAGATCAAAGAGCTGTCGAAGGACACCAGAAACAAAATTGTAGACCTGCACCAGGCTGGGAAGACTGAATCTGCAATAGGCAAGCAGCTTGGTGTGAACAAATCAACTGTGGGAGCAATAATTAGAAAATGGAAGACATACAAGACTACTGATAATCTCCCTCGATCTGGGGCTCCACGCAAGATCTCACCCTGTGGGGACAAAATGATAACAAGAACGGTGAGCAAAAATCCCAGGACCACACGGGGGGGACCTAGTGAATGACCTGCAGAGAGCTGGGACCAACGTAACAAAGGCTACCATCAGTAACACACTACGCCACCAGGGACTCAGATCCTGCAGTGCCAGATGTGTCCCCCTGCTTAAGCCAGTACATGTCCGGGCCCGTTTGAAGTTTGCTAGAGAGCATTTGGATGATCCAGAAGAGGATTGGGAGAATGACATATGGTCAGATGAAAGCAAAATAGAACTGTTTGGTAGAAACACAGCTCGTCGTGTTTGGAGGAGAGAGAATGCTGAGTTGCATCCAAAGAACACCATACCTACTGTGAAGCATGGGGGTGGCAACATCATGCTTTGGGGCTGTTTCTCCGCAAAGGGACCAGGACGACTGATCCATGTACAGGACAGAATGAATGGGGCCATGTATCGTGAGATTTTTATATTCCAATGGTTTTTTATTAATTTTAAACATTATAAAACAGAGGCAATAAAACTCGCCCACACAGGGGCTATCAATTGCACAGGTATCGTGAGATTTTGAGTGCAAACCTCCTTCCATCAGCAAGGGCATTGCAGATGAAACATGGCTGGGTCTTCCAACATGACAGTGATCCCAAACATACCGCCCGAGCAACGAAAGAGTGGCTTCGTAAGAAGCATTTCAAGGTCCTGGAGTGGCCTAGCCAGTCTCCAGATCTCAACCCCATAGAAAACCTTTGGAGGGAGTTGAAAGTCCGTGTTGCCCAGCGACAGCCCCAAAACATCACTGCTCTAGAGGACATCTGCATGGAGGAATGGGCCAACATACCAGCAACAGTGTGTGCCAACCTTGTGAAGACTTACAAGAAACGTTTGACCTCTGTCATTGCGAACAAAGGATATATAACAAAGTATTGAGATGAACTTTTGATATTGACCAAATACTTATTTTCCACCATAATTTGCAATTACATTCTTTCCAAATCAGCCAATGTGATTGTCTGGATTTTTTTTCTCATTTTGTCTCTCATAGTTGAGGTCTACCTATGATGCCAATTACAGGCCTCTCTCATCTTTTTAAGTGGGAGAACTTGCACAATTGGTGGCTGACTAAATACTTTTTTGGCCCACTATATGTATGTATCAGAACCTAAGCCAGTAGGTAAAGATTCAAGGTTTGACAGAGCTCTGGGACACAGGTTTGCAAAACACCTCTATAAGTTGCTGGAGGAACAGTCTGCCCTGGTTAAATATCACATAGCGATTTATCCTTTATTGTAAATTATATGAAAAAGCTGCAAAAGTGCGTTTTGACCGTCAGGCCTTAATCAGCTATGATTAAGACCTGATGGCTGAAATACATTGGCTATTTTACATTTTGATGTTTACCTGAGTGTCGACTGTTCCTCCACTGGTCTGTGGCTCATAGAGGCGTTGGAAGTCTCATAGTCTGAGCAACATGTGTAGCTGAGGATTGAAGGATGGTAGCAGCACCGTTACACCTGTTTTGCACTGCTATAAGTTGTCTGTTTGTAGGTTTACTCAAATTCCTGTTCTATTATGTAATGTTTGTCCAGGCCAATGGTGTGCCCAAGAGAAAATGGTATTTTTTTTTATTGCTTTGGAAGTGAACACTTATAGGCCTATGGCATGCCTTGTGTATGCAGTCATTTAAAAATGGCTTTGAAAATTTATCTTGTATTGTACATTTTTAAAGAGTTAGTTCACCTATTCCAAAAATCATCCCAGGGCAGATAAGGGGTGTCTGTAGATAAAAACAAACCGTGGAGCTTTGACTGAAGGGGAATAATGCCCTTGCTATAGTGTAGGCCATTTACGTACCTCATGAAGCCTGACTGGAAACTCCCAGAATGTTGCTAAGTATGTTTCTAAGAGAGGCCTAGCTATTATCGATCACCATCACAGAAGCGAGCTCTCAAATGCCAAGACCAGAGCTACTGCAGCAGCAGATAGAGTTCTTTGAGGGGGTTTGAATCATGGCTCCCTCCTGTGATGAGGCCTCCTTGACCTTATAGGGAAAGGGAGCCTTGACCGATGGGTGCATGGCTGGGAGTTGGGCGTGGTTACAGGCGATATGTAAATTGGCCGGAGAATATTGGTCAGATGGTATGAGGTGAGGGGGGTGAGACCTGAACTCACTTATGTTCTGAGGTAAAATCTTGACATTTGAATAACTGTGTTTTGAAAGAGTTGCCCACCCTCCTGCCCTAATCTTGGTATGTCACAGCTTCTTCAGTGGATTTTGAACCTTGCCAGTAGAAACGTTCCCGTAATGGGCAATGCCCTTGATTGGAAGTTAGACATGGTCTAATGTGTTTTAGTAAGGACAGGTCTCTTTAGACTTGTTTTTAACCTAATGTTAAAATATATTCACAGTACATCTGTGACTGGCACTTGTTAAAATTTATTTATTTCAGGTACTTATATAGCGCCATTACCTCTGCCGCTGATCGCGGCCGTGGGTGTCAATCAACGGGTCACGGCCGGTCATTACCCGCCGGGTCCCAGCAATTACCGGCAATCACTGACAGGGAG